AATTATGGACAATTCCGCTCACCTCTCTCCAGCATCACCCAGAATTCGTACCATTTCCTCGTGTGCTTCTCTTTCATGTATAAATAGTGGTTTATTGAGCTCACAAGCTAGCTCGACCTTGAGAAAAAAGCAAATCAACGCTGGAAAAGATAGTGCAAAATTGAGAAAACAAGAACTACCTGCTTCCTAAATACCTCCTTCTGCACATCCGGTGGTGAGAAATTTCTGTTAAAGTCCAGCCCACATTCTCCCACAGCAACACATTGCTGGTGAGCCTAAAACTTCTGTTTCATAAATTTTGTCCCAGAAGGCTATGTGATGTATACCTGAAGGGTTCTCAGCGTATCCAATGAGTCTTCACCAAAATCTTTAGCATCATGGGGATGCACACCTATAATCAAACCAGCTAAAGGTAGGTAACCTTGAAGAAGGGAAATTACCTGCGGTGAAGTAAAGGAAACCAGGCATAGTCTCGGCAAGCTTCATAGATTCTGCACTTATTTTCTCAGAAGTACCTGTGATCATGAGTTTGCACAGACCTGGAAAAGTCATGCAGCTACTCAACTCATAAGAAGATGGAATTTGACATTTTTGAAAGCAATTTTTTGCTCACTTTACCCGGTGAAAAAGAATGGAGCAAGTCATTACTTTAGCCAAGAGTAACATGGCATTTATGGATCGAGGGAAAGATGAGCCGCAAAGTTATGATTGTAGGTAACTCCAATGGATAATATGAACTCTTCTACAATATTAAGACTAAACAGCTTTGAAACAAGGCTCTTCAAAGACATCAAGATTACAAGTTTTTGAGAAACTGAAGCTATTTAGAAAATTTTTCGGAAAATGTGGCTACAGACCTGCCTGTTTTGCTCGCTTCAAAACATCATTCAAGTCATTTTTGTATGAAGGATGTCCTAGATTAGCACCGATATCCACCAATTCATAAGGTACCAATCGCTCTACAGCATCGTTTGACATTCTTCTCACTGCACTACAGTGACGCAGCAGTGAAGCTAACCTAATCTAAAAAGAAAATTATGATCCTAGGAACACTTTTGTCATGCACAGATAAGGCATACAATTGCAGAAAAGCAAGAACAAAAGTGTTTCAATATTTTGATAATAAGGCACCGTAGTACTTTCAGCAATCTTTTATCATGTGTATGACATGTAATCAATATAAGTATGTATGGTATGAACGACCATGGAGCAGTAAGATCTGAAAGGACATTTCCAGCGCGCGAATAACTCGACGACCTTATATTTATTTGTACAGATGAAAATAAAACAATACTCCTAGGTGTACCATATGTACATGAGTCTAGCGAT